CTCCCTTCCTTTCTTTCTTTTCCTTCCTTCCTTCCTTCCTTCCTTCCTTCCTTCCTTTCTTTCTTTCTTTCTTTCTTTCTTTCTTTCTTTCTTTCTTTCTTTCTTTCTTTCTTTCTTTCTTTCTTTCTTTCTTTCTTTCTTTCTTTCTTTCTTTCTTTCTTTCTTTCTTTCTTTCTTTCTTTCTTTCTTTCTTTCTTTCTTTCTTTCTTTCTTTCTTTCTTTCTTTCTTTCTTTCTTTCTTTCTTTCTTTCTTTCTTTCTTTCTTTCTTTCTTTCTTTCTTTCTTTCTCTTCCTTTCTTTCTTTCTCTTTCTTTCTTTCTTTCTTTCTTTCTTTCTTTCTTTCTTTCTTTCTTTCTTTCTTTCTTTCTTTCTTTCTTTCTGTGATATTAGGAGATGAACCCAGGGCCCCATGCATGCTAGGCAAGCACTCTGTCACTGAACTACATCTCCAGCCCAATTGCCTGCTTCTTGATAATTCTGGGAAGATACTTGAAGCTCTCCAAAATTTTTCTTTAAACTTCTATCTGAATCATCATACTACTTATGGATAATTCATAGTGTGCTGTGATTTACCAAAGTGAATATTTGTCCTTTGGTTTAAGTATCTTGTTTTTGCTGCTAGATTTGAGGACAAAATGACTTGTGAGCCTGCCTTCTCTGCCTGTAATACTGTCTCTTTGGGCTTCATTTTCGTTCATAGGAGAGAAGACTATATTCAGGAAGAATGTTCAAACAGCATAGAAGGAAGTGACCAGATGTCAGTCAGTTAAGCCTCCAATTTTCAAGAACTGAAGTTTGAAAAGGAGATGTGACTCTTTGAGGACAGGATTAAGGCAGAAGTTGGACTTCACACACAGTCCCACCTCCTATAGTGTGTGATATAATGATAAAGACGTAACATTGATTTATTCTGGAACAATCTTAATAAACAAGTTAACTTGCTTTATTTTGATATTTGTTTTTTCTAACCTTGCTGAAGAATAAATGCAAAATCTAATTTTGCTCAGATATTGCATAATTTTGCATCTGCAAATGCTTTCATAACAAATTCTGGTCAGCTGAGACCACATTCAAGAATATCCATGTTCTGTGAAGATGAAGGGGAGAAGAGAGAACGCAGGCAAGTGCTTTGTTCAGTTCCTTGGCCCACGGGAAGCACTTAACAAATAGCAGCAGATTTCTCTTACTCCTATTTGCTTACGTCTGGGAATCCTGTTTTAGCCAGAGAATGAAGCTCCCACATCTTCATTGTCCTATCATTCCTTGCAGTATCTGAAGAGACAGGGAAGAAAAACAGTATGATCATTTTCTGAAATCTGGGAAAAGAGACCAGTGTTATCTGTCCATTTGGCCACTCACATAGGTTAGGAACAGGAAGAACATGGTCTGCCCTGCCGCCCTCTCCACCTCCAGTCCAAGTACTCCACTGGACATCTTTTTTAGCTTCCTGAGGAACTGGTGGTGATACCAATCTAAATAAAAGACCTGAAGCTGGTGACAGAAGGCTTGTGGGTTTCCTCTGGATCCTCCTTCCCCAGCAACCCAGTGTCTACAAATAAGAGAAACAAGTTTGGGTGAACACTTAAAGAGGAAGTGATGTGAAGGCTGTTTCTCAAAGAAACCCCCTCAAAAGAGATGGTGAAAGATAATAAATCACTGTGTTGATTCCACGCAGCCCCCACTCTTGTTCCTTTGCACTTGAGTTTTGACTTCCTTCTGGCAGGGAGCCCTTCATCAAAGCATCTGAAAACGTAGTGTCTCTTTAATTACCTGAAATTGTACCCCATACCTTTTGTATTTCATTTCTTTTACAGAGTGGGTAAGGGCTGCACATATGCCGTCTTAAGATTTTATAAATCATATTTATAGGGTCTGGAGCGATAGCTCAGTGGTTAAGAACACTAACTGTTCTTGCAGAAGACCGGGGTTCGAATCCCAACACCCACAGGGCAGCTAACAACTGTCCATAACTCTAGTTCCAGGGGATCTGACAGTCTCTTCTGTCCTCCACGGGCATTGCATGACACAGGTTCACTTACCTACATGCAGGCAGTACACACACACACATAAAATAAAATAATAAATAAAATATTAAAAATAATATTTATATTCTTTTTCATTTGTTTAGCATAAGTGGATATGATTCCTAAAAGTGAAAAAAACACTTTAAACACTTAAGATTTTGCTTTTAATTGTGTGTGTGTGTGTGTGTGTGTGTGTGTGTGTGTGTGTATGTACATGAGCACAGATGCCCACAGAGGCCAAAGACATCATCAGATCCCCCAGGAACTGGAGTTACAGGTGATTGTGAGCTGCCTGATATGGGTGCTGGGGGACCAAACTTGGATCCTCTAGAAGAGCAATTCCACTGGCTCTTAACCCCTAAGCCATGTCTCCACCGCCACCCAAAGCACCTTAGAAATAGTTCATATTAACACGGCTAATGTCAGCATTGTTACCTGTGGGTATGCTTTCCCTAGAAGCTGAAAGCTGTTCTGTCACTAAAATATTTCATGGATAGTTTTTAGACTCAATAATGCACAAGCAGGTATTTTCTTGGATATTTTCACAGCTCTGTCCTAATATTGTAGTTGAAATTAATTCTTACAATAAAAAGTGAAAATGAAATCTTAAAGCAGGTGGGTGTGTGCTAGTACTTTACACAGGGCTTATCTGGGTGTTTGAATCCTGCACTCTGGGTTTCTTTTACGCAATGGGCCTCTTCTGAGAAATGAGTGTAAACAGCACAAGAAGCAATGCAAATTTAGTGTCTGTGCAAATGTGATATGTGGAGAAATACAAATTAAGATCATTCAGTCATCAAATACAGATTGGTGCCTGTGCCACGCCTGACAATCCCTTAGAAATGGACAACAGTCAAGCGAGGAGCTAAGCACAGGCCCTTACAGGGACCACTTTTATGCAGAGGGGGCAGAATGCAGACAAATAAAATACGTCATGCTGTCAGATACCACAATGAAGAGCATATAATGAGTAAAGGGTGATTCTACTAGAGGTAAGCTCTGGTGAGAAGACAGAGAGCAAAGGAATTTCCAGGGAGACCTTTTAAACTAAGGAAGTAAGATATGCACAGCACGGTAAAGAAAACTTGATTGGACTCGTTCTGTCATTCTGCAGAAGTCTGTGGTATAAGACTAATCTGCAAAAAAAAAAAAAAAAAAAAAAAAAAAAGCTTTTCCTCTGTAAAGATATGATGTTCCTTCAAGAAAGGAACAGAAGCTAATGAAGCCAGGCTAAGGGGATTTTTAGGCTACTAATAAAGTACCAGCTGGATCAGCAGGATAACCCTTCCTATGTCGGATTTTCTTTCCAAGATTGTTACCAGGGGTGTAGGGAGGCATTCCTTGTCAACAGTGATCTCACACTCCAAGCCCAGTTAACTGAATTTAGGGACCTTGTATAAACAAAGAAGGGAACTGATGGAGTGGACTATTTATTAATTCCTGTTGACAATGGAACATTAACGATTTCTTGGAAAAGGAAGAAGAGGAGGTTAGAGGAGGTTTAAGCTGTCTTTGGACTTTATGTGGAAGATTTATTGTACTCCAGCTGCTATTCCTCTGTTCAAAAGTGATTGTTCTTCTAGCATACAGGATTGAATATTGAAGGGCGTTTCACCAATCTGAACTGTGATTAGCCTGGCTGGTGTACTATTTCTAGTACTATGCAGTAGTCGTACGCTGGAAAAAAAAATGTGCCTTCAATTTAAAAAAAAGACTAATCTGTATACACAGCCCCTTGTAACTTTACCCTCTATGCAGATATGTTAGATTTGTACACAGTAAGAACCAGAAGGAAGTTTCTACAGGCTGAACTGTTGGGTGTATACATTTCGTGTAAGAAATGAAGGAAGCCTTTTAGCTGGAGGAAGTCACCTCGTAATGTCTCGTGACCATCACGTACCATCATAGAAACCCACAGTACAGTCACAAAAGAGGCACAGAAGACACTGGAGCACCACAGAGACACAGCACAAGAAAGTGACATTGTGTGCATAGGTAAGTGGTGTGAATTCTTCACTCTGGGTTTTATCCTTGCCACTGTCTTTTCTTCCTCTGAGCTGTCCTATGAGCTATTTTCACTGTCTTATGGCCTCAGCTCACTCCGAGCTTGTTTATGGTCATGATCATGTGGAAATCAAATGGAAAGCTATAAGAGATTAAATCATAGGGATTTAAATGATCCCTGAAACAATCAATATTGGAGGGAAATCCTGTACTGATCATGACTTCTTACAGAATTTTCTTGAGTGATTTTCTTTAATGTGTGAAGCAGCAGAGAATTGCAGCTATGATTCTTTGAAGGTTTGTTTTTTGTTGTTGTTGTTGTTGTTGTTGTTGTTGTTGTTGTTGTTCTTTTTTTAAGTTTGGGGATCTTTTATGTTATTTTTAAGATATTTTATTTTATTGTTTTTTTTGTGTGTATGAGCATATTGCCTGCATGTATGTAAGTGCACCCTTGTCATGCAATGTCCATGGAAGTCAGAAGAGGGCATCAAATTCCCCTGGAACTGGAGTTACAGACAGTTGTTAACCACCATGTGGGTGCTGGGACCTGAACCCAGGTGCTCTGCAAGAGCAGTCAGTGCTCTTAACCACTGAGCCATCTTTCCAGCCCCATGTTCTATTATTTGAAGGCACATTTTGTTGAAATGTGTCAATGTTTATCTAAGAATTATATTCTATCAGTATTTAGCTTCCAAGACCACCAAAGAGTTATACCCTTAGGACAGAAATTTGAACTCACAGATCGTAAAGAATAATTCATTTTTCCTTTTGCTTAGTTTTTAATGAAGACATTTAAAATGGTATGTAGCTGATATTGAAAAGAAAATAGAAATCCTAGCTTGCTGATTCAAAATTAAACACCCATTGTTTGAAATTGGTAACTTAGCTAACAAAGGCGCTGCTATTTCTCTCTTGACCTAAAAATTTAACTCACTCTGATAACTTTTCCAGACCTTAATTAGAAATGCCTCAGCAACAGTGTGAAAAGAGGGAGGTCAGCATGCTTGCCACTAGATGTTAGGGGAAATGGTGGCTATTACTGAAATTCAGCACATGCAAGAAGTTTGTCTCATGTGGACAATAGCACTTGGCTGGCTCTCTGAACCCAGTTTTTGCATTTAAAAACACCAGAGTATATGCAAATTGGGGTGCAAATATTGTGCTCTCTCCCATTACATTTGGTATGATTCACTGGTGGATGAATTAAGATGTACTAAAAAAGAACTGGTAGCAAATTCACAAATACTCTTCCTTTTTTATTTGAAACTTATGAGCTATTGCAAAATTATTAGGCAGGTTTGAAAAAAAAAACAAAAAACGGGGGCTGGAAAGATGGCTCAGCGGTTAAGAACACTGACTATCACTGACTATTCTTGCAGAAGACCCAGGTTCAAATCCCAGCACCCATATGGCAGCTAACAAATGTCTGTAACTCCAGTTCCAGGGGATCTGACCTCTTCTGTCCTCCGCAGGCATTGCATGACACGGGTGCACTAACCTACCTGCAGGCAATAATACACGTATACACATAAAATAAAAATAAGAAGTAAAATATTTTTTAAAAAAAACAACAATTATGCCAGGAATTCCCAAGTAGTTCTTTGTTCTGAATGTCTTTTATTTAAAAGTAAGAGTTCAGGTAGGACAATGTTTTCAAATAAATTATGAAATTGTTAATATTCTTATTTGTAAGTTTTTTTTAATCCACTAAAACTGGTACAAAAGCTCAATTCCCCCTTTTGAGTTATCTGATGAAACATTTATTAAGATGTCTAGTGTTGGGCTGGACTATATGTATTGCCTGAATGTATGTGAGTGCACCCATGTCTTGCGATGCCGCAGAGGTCAGAAGAGAACTTCAGATTCCCCTGGAACTGGAGTTAAGGATGGTTCATAGCCACGATGTGGGTACTGGAAATCGAATCCGGGTCCTCTGCAAGAGTAGTCAGTGCTCTTAACCACTGAGCCATCTCTCCAGCCCCTTAACTACACTTTTATAGTCAAAATAAGACATCCTAGTCAAAATGAAATGATTTTACTGTAGCCAACCCTGCTTGTCCCTTAAGGACAAAAGCATTCTTGAGCTGGCACAAGCTGAGGGTCTCCTAGACTGATTTCAGTTTTTCAGGAATGGACACTGTGGCAGACATCTACATTTTACTATAATTTGTATTTTATCAATGACTGTGTTTAAACTGCCTTTGTGGTTGAATGCCCCTTGTATTTTATTGTAATCAGCTGAAAAGCATCAGTATTATGTAAAGTAAGAACCTAGACGATTCCTAGATTATAAACCTAGAAGAATCTAATTATATAAGACAGAACCCTTTTTTTGGGGGGGGGGAATCCTAACTAGTTTATTGGGCTTGCTAACAGAGCATAGGTAGGGGTTCGTTTACAGAGGAGTAGGCACCCCCCATTTACAGCATTGGAAAGTCCACACTCAAACATAGATCCTGTGACTTTCTAACAGCTACCGGAAATGCTGAGAGAGGCGCCTCTTGGCATTCTCAGCTTATATATCCTTAGCTCCTCCCCAACATGCAGCTAAGGTTGACTGATTGGGTGGGACAGGTAACTGACTCCCCCCTCCACTCCTCGATAGCATCGGAAGGAGATGTGACTATATTTTGCTAGCATAGTGGTCAGAGTACACTTCCAGTTAACACTCCACCCCTTCCTCCAGCTCTTACATTCTTTCCACCAACCTCTTAAAAGTCCCTGAGCCTTAGAAGGGGTGGTAGGTATAAGACGATCATCCTCCTATTGTGGCAAGGCACTGAACTTTCAGGTCTCTGCATTGTCAGTTTTCTATGGGCTGTTGTCCCATGTCAGTGGGATTCCATCTACTATACAAACACATACAGCAAGAAGCAAGAACACCTAAACAGTGACTGCTATAATAAGTTAACCTATGGGTATAAATACAAATGCTTGGTCAGTACTCTAGCAGGTGCATCATATACATCTAACAAAGCAATTGCAGTGACTTCCCACTGGGGCCTACATTCTCCCCTGCCACAGGGGGTTGGTCTAGTCTGTAGTACCAGATGTGTGTTCCACCCCTAGGCGCAGGCATTGTACACAATCAAAAATTTGCTGGTTGTGCAGACACTAGATGTTCCACTATTGCACCAGCAGGAATATCTTGTTTGTTATGTTGATAGTGCAATGTGAGAGCTCCATCATTGAGGAGAATTATAGGGAATAATTCAGCCCCAATCATCTGCATATTACCTTTTGGTATCATGAAAGCCACCCATCCAGTAGCAGAGAATTTCCAGCTTAGTCTAAGCTTGATTTCTCCCTTTCCTGCACTCACATCAAGCAGTGAGAATAAGACACTTTTTTACATAGGCATCTAATAATTTCAGATTTTAATTTTAAAAATGTAAAATTTATTTGTGTGTGTGTGTGTGTGTGTGTGTGTGTGTGCGTAATGTGTATGGGAGTGTGGAGACACAGGTGCACGTCACAGTGCATGTGTGGAAGTCAGAAGACAAGTTTGGGAGTCGATTCCCTTCTTCCACCTTGTTGGAGACCCTCTTGTTTCTGCCATGCCATGTGCTCGAGGCTAGCTGGTCTGCAAGCTTCTGAGTGATTCTCCTCCCTCCACCTCCCACCTCATGGCAGCAGTGCTGGCACTGTAGATGTATTACATCTGGCTTCTTTACTTGGGATTGGTGAATCATGCTTGCTAGTCTTGTGTGTCAAGTGCCTTTACCCAATGAGCAATCTCACCTTCCTAAGTACTGAGCTTCTAACACTGGTGTAGCTAGTCCTCATCAAATCTACCTTTATAATTTCAAATTTGTTACTTGACCCAATCCATTTTCTCTTTCCTGGGGTGCAGTCTAGGATTTACTGCTGTCTTTAGTTGTCACATTTACATAGTATTAAAAATCCAGATCATATCCACAATCCCTCCTTTTTCCTTTTTTTTACTGTCTCATTATTGTGTGTGTGTGTGTGTGTGTGTGTGTGTGTGCGCGAGAGAGAGCATGTGTTTGTGTGAGACAGAACTACTTTTGGGAGCCACCTGCTATAGGTTCTAGGGATCAAACTCAGTTGTCAGGCTTGAGCAACAAATACTTTGGTGCACTGTGCCATCTCACTGACCCTAGCCATCTTTGAAGAACATGATGTCAAACAATCTGAATCACCTTTATAGCCCCGTCCCCACCAACACCTCCCATAGCCCCCCCCAACTGGAACCCATATACCTTGTTCTGTGTATTAAGGCCCACTGTGTCAAGTCAGTGTCCCCAGACAATCACTTGCAGTCTAGATCCCTCTCATCTTTCTATCCAAACACCTATCATTTTCTTTTTTTTTAAACAGAACATAGGGTGGGGGTTTATTTACATATGAGTGGGTGCCCCCCATACATGCCTGCACTGGAAAGTCCGCATTCAAATATAGATCCTGTGACTTCCCGACAGCTGTAGAAAATGATGAGAGAGGTACCTTTTGGAATTCTCAGCTTATATATCCTTAGCCCCTCCCCCATATGCAGCTAAGGTTGACTGATTGGGTGGGAGGGGTAACTGACTCCCCCCTTGATTCCTTGAGCATGGGAAGGAGGTGTGACTATAGCTTGCTGGCACAGTGGTAGGAGGCTACCCAGTTAACACTCCACCCCTTCCTCTGGCTCTTAGACTCTTTCCACCAACCTCTTCCTCAAAAGTCCCTGAGCCTTGGAGGGGGTGGTAGGTGTGGGATGATCTTCCTCCTATTGTGGGAAGGCACTGAACTTTCAGGTCTCTGCATCGTCAGTTTTCCATGGGCTGTTGGCCCATTTCAGTGGGATTCCATTTACTATAAAAGCACAAACAGCAAGAAGCTAGAACATCTCATGTTTAGATTTTTTTTTTAACAACTTGTAGTGTTAGCGTATGATGTTTAAACTTCTTCACCTGCTATTATGACCCATTCTTTTGGTAATATTGCATTTTTTCTTGAGGCTTGTTAATTGGTCCTATTTTCATTTGACTTGCTTGTTAGATGCTGGGTTCAAGCAGCCCCTTACCTGTGGTCTCAACCTGTTGTGGTTGGCTTTCATTCTGAAGTTGCCAAGCTCCCTGCTGGTCTGCCCTCCTGAGAACCACTCCATCCTGACCTCAGTATTTTCTGTTTCTTTTAGCCCACGTTGTTCAAATTGCTTTTGAACCTAATCATATATCTTTTAATTTTTCTTTTTATAGTTATTTTTTTCATTTCTTTGTGCTAGCAGAAGGATGGGTTTCAGAAATAATATGATCTTGAAAAACTGAATCCAATAAAATGATATGTCTGGACTATGACCTTCACCACATAGAGAACCCTAAACCTGTTCCCTCCCATCTCCATCTTTTTACATCTTCTGAACACATACTATGGTCATGCACTGGATGGGGAGTTTTATTTAAATTAACTCATTCTTTGACAATTTCATACATGTATAAATGCCTTCTGGTCACACTCATTCCCCCACCGAGCCTCCTTCCTCCCAACAAGTACTCCTCCACTTTCATATCTTTTTGTTTTGTTTCTTTTTTCATTTTGTGACTCACTGAGTTTAATCAGGACTGCCCAAATTGGCATGGGTCTGGAGCTATCCGCTGGAGCATGAGTGACTGATTCACCACTGGCCACACCACAGAAGACAATGACTGTTCCTTCCTGGTAGCCACTAGCTGCCAATAGCTCTGGGAGGAAAGGCTGGGTCCCCTGAGACCCTTTTGTGTGGAGTTTTTAAGATAATATTTTCATTATAATTGTACAGGTCAGGAAGCTAAAGCTAGAAATAGAGAATGGCTTAAGGGCACTGAGATAGTGTTTACTAGTAATTCCATACCACTGTCTCTGGCTCTCTCACCCTTGACCTAGCTCCTCACTGTACCAGATGAAGACATGTTCTACATTTGTCCTTTGAAGCACTGCTCAGTGCAATGAGGGGGAAAAAATCTAGACAGTGCCCTATAATCCTTCCCTTAGGATGTATTGGGAATTTTCCTTGAGGCTTTTGTTGGTCACAGACACATTTACTTGGACTTATTTGCTATTTTTATGCAAAGTCTTATAAATAAAGTATTTTAGAATCAGTATATAATTTCTAGCAGCAATTAATCTTGAAATTTTTTATGTTGTCAAAATACACACGTATAACAAGAAAAGCAAAAGCCTGTAAGTTTGGAATTTCATACGTGTGAAACGGGAAGCCTTTTGCTCATGATGGAATATAATTATTCAAGAACTATAGGAATGCGATATGCAAGTGCAGCTTCTCTAATGAGTAGTGTTGAATGTTCTAAAGGGAAAGATAAGCATTTGTCAGATATTCTAGGACTTACAAATCTCATACTGAAAGATATGTTTGCTAAGAAATATAGATAGCTACCAATCTATGTTTAAATTTTTTAATGTCTTATTTAAGTGAACTACAATATAAAATAACATAACTTTGCATATTACTAATAAAAATAATGCTGTGTGCAGAATTCACAAGATCATCATTAATATTTGTGGGGTATGTGACTGCCAAAAGTTATATGTTTAATTTTAATGTTAAATATACTGACATACACGGCAGCACATACATATAATGTTTATAATAAGAAATACATTCTTTCTTTGTTTTGTAGAAACTGATTTATGACAACAAAAATCTATTTTTAAACCTTGAGCTCTTCAATGGAAGCTACAACTTAAGAATGACATTTTTCCACTCTGGGCTGTTTTCTTCTTTTGACACAATAAACACATCAAGGAATTATAATGATTATGTTTTCATTTTCTAGATATGAAGAAATGTCATTTTGCATTTAAAAATTATTATTATTACTATTCTGTGTGTGTGTGTGTGTGTGTGTGTGTGTGTGTGTGTGTGTGTGTGTGTATGCATCTGTGTTTGCCTGCCACGGTGCATGTGTGGAGGTCAGAGGACAACTTTATGCTGTGGGTCTCTCCTTTCACCTTATGAGGGCTCTGGTGATATTACTCAGGTGGCCAGGCTTTGGCAGCAAACACATTTTCCAGCTTGTTTTGGAATCAGTTATCTCCTTCCACCTTGTTTCTGAGGCAAGTTCTCTCTCGTAATTTCTACCGCTGCACTGCATATACCTAACCTTCAGGTGTAGTCTCCTGTCTCAGCCTCTTTTCTGACCATATGCATGCTAGACTGCAGACTTGAGCCACCACATCTAGCTTTTTTTTTTAGTTTTTTAAAATCTTATTTATTTTTATTTTATGTGTATGAGTGTAATACCTGCATGTATGTGAGTGCACCCATGTTGTGCAATGCCACGAAGGTCAGAAGAGGGCTTCAGATTCCCTGGAACTGGAGTTAAGGATAGTTTGTAGCCATCATGTGGGTGCTGGGAATTGAACCCCAGTCCTCTGCAAAAGGAGTCAGTGCTCTTAACCACTGAGCCATCTTTCCAGCCCCCACATCTAGCTTTTTTATGTTGGTTCCAACAATGGCACTCAGGTCATCAGTACTTTTACCCACAGAGCCATCTCACCAGCCCAGAAAATAAACTATTTTAATTCATTACTTTATATGAACAATCTTCATGAAATTACTGCAATTATTATATCAGTATGTTGTATTTACAGTGTTTATGCTTGTCTACAGTAAGAGTTTGAAGTTAGTATTTATGCTAATAACTAGTATTATACTAATAATTTTACATACATTACTCTTGATCTTTAAATTTATATCTGAATTTTTAAGAGTGAACTTTGAGGGGCTAGAGAGATAGCTCAGCGGTTAAGAGCACTAGCTGCTCTTGCAGATGACCTGGGTTCAATTCCCAGCACCCACATGGCAACTAACAATTGTCCATAACTCCAGTTCCAGGGAACCCTCTTTTGACCTCTGTGGTGCATTGCATGCACATGGTGCACTTACATGCAGGAAAAAATACTCATGCACATAAAATAAAAATAATAGATTTTTTTTTTTTTTGGTCTTTTTGAGACAGGGTCTCCCTGTAGCCCCAGCTGTCCTGGAACTCACTATGTA